AAATTACATTCAACAAACTAAAAGCAAAAAAGAAATTCTCTCCACTCATAATTGACTTTTACAGGCTTTTTTTAAAAGTGTAATTTCCTCAATTAACCTCTCTCTAATACTACTCACAGAAGAAAAAAGAAAAAAGAGGTGACCTTCTAAATATAAATAATTTGTACTGCACTAAATCAACAATGACTACATTTCTGGAACTGAGGGCATCCATGAAATACTGACTCTATCTATAGTGCTTTAAATCTATCTTCCAGTAAAATAATTTTGCTGACAGGCTGGCTGCCCTGCCTGTGAGATATTGGACATTTATGTTATGAAGGTTATAACCAAATTATAGTTTAAGATATATATTAAATTATTACATTCATTCAATAAACTTTTACTACACACTTAGAGTGTGAGAACCGGTGTGCTTTCACATATATCATCACAAGCATTTATCTGCACTACAAAGCAGGTCATATATCCTCAATGTATATCACCATGAGCTATTTTACTTTCTGTTATCAAAGCTGTAGCTTTTATATGAAAGCAATATAGAAATAAAAACATGACAGTGATAGCTAGTACCCGGATGTTAGTCCAGCCTCCATCAAACAACTGTGTTTTCTATACAATGAGCATGTGATTCTAAAGAACACCAAGGTTTCCCTCCTGATAAAATCTCTGACTCTCTTTATTATTACCAAATCAATAATACACTGTGTATGCTATCAATGATGGTAATTATTATTTATAACGTTGCCTAGGTCTCTTTCCTTACATTCCATGAGTCAAATAAATCTCCCTGACCATATTTTTTTTTAAAGATTTTATTTATTTATTCATGAGAGAGAGAGAGAGAGGCAGAGGGAGAAGCAGACTCCCAAGGAGCAGGGAGCCCGATGCGGGACTGCATCCCAGGACCCCGGGATCATGACCTGAGCCGAAGGCAGACGCTTAACCATCTGAGCCACCCAGGCGCCCTCTCCCTGACCATATTGGCAACAGGTCTGCTCTCATGAAAGAAAGATTTTGTGAAAGAAAATCTGAAATATGCAATTAAGTGAGGAGTGGTTTAGAATTACTTAAGGTTTTTGTTTTGTTTTGTTTTGATTTGTAAGCCTTATTTTTGCTTTGATTTTCAGATATATTATAAATTACAGTATACATGGAGATACGCCAAATTACTTATGTCTCCATATACTATAGATTGGTTTTTCTCTTTGGTTGCTCTAAATTACCAATATTCCTTCACTTTTATTTTGTTCATATCTGAGGATTCAATTTTGTAACTCACTGGTCCTAATGCATACTAGGTCAGATATGGATACTAGGTGAACAAATTCCCTAAGGTCATGCAAACTGCTGCGAAGGCAGGCAGTGAGACCTTATCAGAATAAATCAGCAAGGCATGGCACAGCTTTGAGCTTACGTAGGAGGAGGCAGAGGTACAAATAATTGATATGCCAAATCAGGTAAGGGATCAGCTCTGGAAGCCACACTGTGCTATATAACCAGCATGTGTTTGTTCAGATGTCTGCCTTGATCATTTCCCTCCCTTTTTGTTCAAGGAATGCAAAAGCTCCAGGCTGATGGATCCCAGGAAAGAAGTCAAATGGGGTGCATGACCCACTTTGTGGCTCAGTTACCAGTACCACAAGAGCAATTACATTCAATCAGATGCCGCCGATCTAGCAGTTTTTACAGGCTCTCTTCTAAAGGCCGCCTGTGTGTGTGTTTGTGTGCACGCACATACACGCACACCTCTCTCTCTCTCTCTCTCTTTCCTCTCTCTCTCTCTCTTTTCTCTCACTCCTTATACAGCCACACATCACTGCTGGCACCTAGGTTGGCCCTAGAATTTTGTTACACTGAACAGTATGTCAACAATTTCACTGTGAGGCTATTCTGCAGGGTTTATCGGGAAGGGTATTATTAGGAAAGCATTCCCATTTGCATTTGCTTCAATTTGGCTCTCGCTCGATACACGTTTGTTCTTCCATTTTTTTTTTAACTGCTATGCATGTTGGAGGGGAAGTTGGATGACATTTTATTTATTTTAAGTTGTCTTTTTTTTCCCCTAAGAGCAGCAAAAGGAAGGATGTTTTTTAGAATAATCTTTTTTTAGTTACTGATTTCTACAAGCAAAAGTTTTTTCTTATATTTGAATAATTCCTTTTGTAAAACAGACTATTTAACTTTGAAAAACAGCTGCTATACACCCTTACCAACTGCTCCCACAGCAATTTTCTACTCCATAGGGTGTCCCAGTGCTGCATACTATCTTATAAAAAGTATTCTCAAGAGTGCATCAGTAACCTAACGAAGCCTTGTAACTGTTTGACACTGACCCTTTCCTTTCCTAAACTTCACATTGGAAGTATCATGTGACAATCCCACAAAAAGGAACATGAAGGTGCATTGTATTTCTTAGATGCGTGATGGACGGTACATTTGTGTTGTTGTTGTTCACATTTGTGTTGTTCTTGACCACCTGTCTTTTTCCCTGTTAGTATTTACTGTGTATCTGCTATGAACAAGAGATGCTGAAATACACAAAGTATCTAACTTCAATGAACGTGTTCTCTATCATGGAAAATAAACTATGGACACAAACTCTTCGCCTCCGATCCGAAACATAACGTACCCCCTGAGAGGAGGAAAAGATATCTTCTAGATAAAGGATCTGAAGAAGACACCCCGAGGATATGGCATTTGAGGAATTGGATGTTTACGGCTTCCACATGTGAGATTAAAATTTGGGAATCCAAGGCAAAGAGCGGGACCAAAGTAAGGAAAACACAGGCTGTAGTAACTGACTAGGAAGCCACCTATTTTGATGAAACCATAGAAAAAATGGAGTAAGAGAAGGCCTGAAGATGAGCCAAGATTCAATTGTGGTAGGTCTCAAGTGTCCATCATCCACAAAATAGAAATGATGAAGCTGATGTGCAGGGAGAAGAAAAGATAGAGACCATGTACCTTCAAAAAGAAAGAGCTTGAGGAAGTCAATACCTTGTAGTGTTCATATCCTACTTCCAACTTCTTCTAAAGCCCACACCCATGGCCTTCTCTGCATAGGTCTGGGACATCCCTGTGTTTTTGTTTGTTTGTTTGTTTGTTTTTAATTTATGTACACACAGGTTCATATATGATAATCACCCCTTTTTATTTTCTCAAGATACTTGCAGTGTTTTTTAACTTGCAAATAAAGAAACATTCATAAAACCAAAAATGAAACAGGACTCACAGAAATCACTTGCTCACATATCTGAGTGAACAGCAGTGGCTCCTAGAAGCAGGACATGAAGAAGAGACGAAGGTAATCACTGCCAGATACAGGATGGCTTAAAGGCTTGAAGCGAAGGAAGAAAGGAAGCTGAGAATAACCAACAGGAAAACTAATGTCCTAACAAGCAGAGGAGAAGTCATGTGCACACTCTGCTTCACAGTGACTTCTGACTGCATAGATCAAAGCTGTCAGCTACAGCATGGCAGAATCTGAATGATTCGATCCCAGTTTCTTACAGTTGAGGTCTCGGTCTTTAATTTTTTTTTTAATGTGCATGTTTTGGAGGTAAAAGGAAAGGGCTTCTACATGCATTCTGAATTACAAAAGTCAAAAATGGAATTTGATGTATTTTCAGCCCTATTCACAACCAAACCCTAAGGTCATGTCAAGACGACACATCAGCTGGAGAAGCAACATGGTCTTCGGTAGCTCTCAGATGTCAGCAAGCATCAAATAATCTGGGCAACACAGTTAAGATGCTGTTTTCCTAGGCTCCATTCCTATGTGTTTTGATCTCCACAGATAGGTGTGTGGCCAAGAATCTCCATTTTTAACAAATATTCCCATTGATTCTGATGCAGAAGGTCCCTGAAGGAAGCCTGGAGAATTCTTATCACTGATTTTTACCAGGCAGCTTGGGGCAGCAGAATCATCACTGGTCTGTAGGTCAGAAGTCACAACTTTTCTGAGACTGATTATTCCAACTAAGAAATATTAATTCTATCCTTCCCATTTCAGTTATTGTCAAGTTAAAATAATATAATAAACTACGATTACACTATCCATTGATTGCTATGCATGTTACAAATCACAGTAGTGAAAGCATGCTGATTCCATGGCAAAGTGTGAATTAGACTGTAAAATCAAATGTTTGCAGGGGGGAAATATATATCTTTGTTTTGATATAAAACGGGTTTCCTTTCTCAAGGCCTCATTCTTTCTCAATGGCCAAGGGTTAACAAAATCATGACATTTCCAGGTATTCTTTTTTCTTTTAGTTTAAAACTTCACTTCCTTTGAGTAAATATTCAGTCAGATTCAAGTATTATTATTTCCATCACTAGCCACAGCGCCTTGCTTCCCCGTCTTAAGGCCTTCACCTCTTACTTCCTTTTCTCAGGTTGCTGGTGTCCCTTTCTACCAGAGCTGCAGGTGGGAAAAGGCGAGTGGGCTTATGGGACGGTCCTCCCTCAAGGAGAGACACTGCCTATGTGGTCTGGGTGGTCCTTTGCCTTCTGCTGTGACCGTCAAACCTCAGTCCATGCCTGGGGCTGGCTGTGTCAGCCTGGACTGCAGCCAAAGTTGGCCGCTTAGGAAGCATTCCATCTGTGTGGGCCCCTGCTGGACCCCAGTGCAAGGAAGCATGGCTGCCTGCCCCCAAAATCCACTGCAGAGGGGGTTCCAGGCAGGTGTTCTGGGGCTGTGATGGGTGGCCCCATGTGGTGGCTGGGAAAATGGCTCGCCCTTCCAGATCTTTTCACAAGTGACTGTAGACCTATTGGAAATCTATGAATCAAACTGAGCCCCGAGGGAAACTGGGGACTGTCTTTGCTTTCTCCTACCACGTTCTGTCTCTCTCCAAACTCCACTATCCATACTACCAAAATGCTGCACTTAATTCTAGGCAGGTTTTGCTGCCGAGCAAACACCCCCAAACTCTAGTCCCTGATACCCAGAATACTCTCCCCAAATGAGCAATGACCTTAGTGGCCACCATTTTTTTTTTTTATTGTTCACCAAACTTTTTTCTTTTTAATTTTACAATATGCCATAAACATTTTCCCATGCAATGGACAAAAATCTGCTACTGAAACATCGAAGGCTGCAGCTGGATAACAGAGTGATAGCTAAAGCAAGTATTAGCATAAGGTTAAAGCACAGGGCCTGGGCAAATGCCTGCCAGGGGCACTACACAAAAGGAATGTCTTCAAAGCCCCTCTGTGGGGCCCTGCACCCACCCCTGAGTTCCCTTGGGCCCCTCGGGTGGAAGGGGTCCTGTAAACTTTTTTGCATCCACATAAACCTGCCCAATTTCTGTCTGGTTTTCTTCACCTCATCCTCCACCCTGGCCATCTCATCAAATTCTCTTATCATCTCCTCATTGCTCAAATGCATATCGTGTATGGCCTCCTTATATTCCTTGAGGCACTGAGCCAGCCCCTTGTTGGTTTTTCTTTTGGCCTTCCTGGGTACATCATCCCCAGCTGGGTGCTTTCCTGCAACCCTTGATTCGATGGCTGGCTTTTCTTCTTTTGGCTTTTCCTCATTCACTGGCTTTCCCTCATTCTCTGATTTTTCTTTTGGCTTTCCCTCGCTCACTGGTTTTCCCTCTTCTTTTGGCTTTCCCTCACTTACTGGTTTTCCTTCCTCTTTTGGCTTTCCCTCGATCACTGACTTTCCCTTGATCACTGGCTTTCCCTCGCTCTCTGGCTTTCCCTCGATCACTGGCTTTCCCTCGCTCTCTGGCTTTCCCTCGATCACTGGCTTTCCCTCGCTCTCTGGCTTTCCCTCCATCTCTTCCCTCCTTCACTGGCTTTCCCTCGCTCTCTGGCTTTCCCTCGATCACTGGCTTTCCCTCGCTCTCTGGCTTTCCCTCGATCACTGGCTTTCCCTCGCTCTCTGGCTTTCCCTCACTCACCGGCTTTCCCTCCATCTCTGGCTTTCCCTCCATCCCTGGCTTTCCCTCACTCACTGGCTTTCCCTCGCTCTCTGGCTTTCCCTCGCTCTCTGGCTTTCCCTCCATCCCTGGCTTTCCCTCACTCACCGGCTTTCCCTCGCTCTCTGGCTTTCCATCTTTTGGCTTTGTCATACTCTCTGGCTTTTCTTTATCCTTTAGTATCTCCTCATCTTCTGTCATTCTCTCGTTTTCTAACTTTTCCTTGTCTTCCAAAGTACAAGCTACTTCTGGCTTTTCCGCATCCTGTGACTGTTCTTTGTATTCCATCTTTTCTTCGTTCTCAGGCATTCCTTCATTTTCACTGCAGAGTTTTTCCATGTTGAGATTTCCCCTCCTGTCCTGCAGGGATTCTGAACAGATTCCTCCTCCTTTTCTAGCCTTGCAGAGTGCTGAGAACAGACACGCAGACCTGAAAGAACCTGGAGCAACAATTTGGAGCTCACAGACCGCTCCGGACCCGACCGCAGGGGAAGAGGGCGGGCTCCCCGACTGGTGCCCACATCTCGTGGCCACCATTTTTAAGGGAGACAGGTTGAGCACACACCCCCAGCCACAGGGACCAAGAAAACTCCAGTCTTCAACTTACTTCTACTGCTTCTCTCTTCCCCTAGCTAAACTATCTTTTTATGTCTTGTTGTAGTAAACTAATTTTGCCTCATTTGGTCTGAAACATAGACTTCTGACACCAGGGTGGAGTATTCCTTAAATTTAACCCTTTGGAATTCTGTCTTTTATTCCCTGCTGTAGGCTGTCTCCCAGGAACCATGCATGTTTAGTGTGGTTACCAAAGGGGATAGGGAGCATGCTAACTTCTTAAACACAACAGCAACAAGTGATTAAGAGAAGGAATTAAACATACTGCTTATGCTTTAAGGCATTTACAACTGAGTGGATGACTTGGGCAGACAATTATAATACAATGTGCTGATTACGGTAATAGAGATTTGGATAGGAGTATCCTGGAGTTCACAGCGGGGCCCCTAGGACCAAACTGAGAGCTCTGGGAATATATCTGGGAGAAGGTGCGATGCAGTACAAGGAGGTAAAGTAAGGCGGTGGGGGGAGAATGACCAGCAGCAGAGAGGCAAGAAGATGCAGACACTGTGTGCACGTGGAATTTGGAAGAGGTGTGGGATCAAATGGAAGCTCAAGCAACAGGTTTTCCAAACAAGTTAACAGCTGACATTCTGTGAGTCCACAGGATCTCTGTTATTGTAATCAACAAGTTGTGTTACAACAGTTGGCCACAAGTCATCCATTCAATTGTAAATGCCTTAAATATAGAGGCAGTATGTTTTAGTTTGTCTTTTATCAACATTTTTCTATCAGTGGCACCTAACACTGCAACTTGGTAGAAGCTCCTAAGTTTTTTTTAAATTAATTTACCAATATATTAATTAATTATTTACCAATATATTAATTACATGAAGACTAATGCAATTATGACCAATACTAAATAATGAAATACTACATCAAAGAATTGTCATATAGTATATAACAACTACTTAAATCTAAAAAGTCGCCAACAGGGGCGCTAGGCTGCCTCAGTCGGTAGAACATGAGACACTTGATCTCGGGGTCATCAGTTTGAGCCCCACGTTGGGTGTAGACATTACTTAAAAAACAAAATAAATAAAATGTAAATAAAAAATAAATAAATAGAAAGTCACCAACCAGGTGCCAAGCACTGACATTAGATGTCATTATGTCAGTGACATTAGACATTGTGCTCCTGGGAGCGCAAAGATGACTGGTGACAGTAGCCTTTCTGTCTAGTGGCAAAGGCACAGACAATTATAATCAATGTGAGAAGGGTTCTGTGAAACATATGAAGTGCTATGGAGAGACAGAGAGGCAAACCTTACTTAGGAAAGTCAGAGAAACATTTACACAGAGTGGATTTCTGTGGGAAGTCACAGCCTGTGTCAATGCAGAAGAAGCCGAAAAGCCCAATCAGAGACTCCTTGAGGGGCTGGTGTGGCTGGAGTGTGTTTTATGTTGACTGTGATGGGAGAGAAGGCAGGAAAGAGTTGTCACATGATGAAGAAAGCTAATAATAAGAACAATATTGGTAATGCATTTATGAACACCTAATATGTTTAGGGATTAGGCAGAAAGCATATGTTGTGCATAGAGTCTATGCTTGATCTTCACAACTTGGGTATGATACCCAAGTTTATATGGTGTTTATATGGTGTAAAGCTTTGCTCAGAGCTTCATCCATTGCTGTCCATTAGGCAACAAACAAAAGTCGGTTAATACTAGTTATATTTATTGATTATTAAATTTTGACTGCCCAGGACTTCACAGTGGTGATTATTAAAAACCTGAAGCCAGCAAATACAGTCCATGCTAGGCCTCAAGAAGTTAAGAACCAATCCTGGGAACTGGTTTAAAAATTAAGTCTCACCTTCAAATGAGAGCCGGAGAGTCTTCCTGCTCAAAACTGGATATGAATCCATATGCTTACCCCCTGAATTCAATGTCATGCCCAGCTTTCAAATGGTACTTCTGTTCTGATTCTCGATCTGCATAATAAATCCCTGATGGGACAAGTCCTGTGAGATGAGACCCTGCCATTCCTTGCTCTGGGGCTCCATTTGTCACACCTGATGGTGAATTAGAACTAAGTACCTCAACTCTTTCCCCTCATCACATCACTAGATGGGTTAGTTTGGAACCCAAATCATCCTCTTAAAACTTCAGCAATTGGAACTGATGCTTACCCTCTTTAAGATCAACTTTAAGGTACACTCTCCCTGAACACTGGCCCAGATAACTTTCCCTTCTCAGACCAGGTCATCCTATAGCCTTTTCATGCCTTCTGCCCAAACCCATAAAGGCTATAGAGTTGACTATGCTTCATAAGTAAATAAATAAATAAATAATATAACATAATATAGTATAATATATGTAAAGTTTATATATGTATTATATTAAAAGAACAATGGTCTCCCCAAAATGTCCACATTGTAATCCCTGGAGCCTATGAAAACATAGCTGTATCTGCAAAAAGAACTTTGCAGATGTGATTAAGTTAAGGATGGGAAGATGCTTAAGATGAGAAAATTACCCTGGATTATCAAATGGACCTAAGTAATCATAGGGAACCTTGTAAGGCAGAGGCAAGAGGGCCAGCATCAGACAAGGAGACAGAGTCTGGAGTGAGGCACAGACAAGTCAGAGGAAGCAGCCTGAAGCCAAGGAGTTCACGTGGCCCCCAGAGACTGGTAAGGGCTCAAACATAGGTTCTCCACTGGATCCAGTAGAAGCATGTAGCCCCACTGACACTCATTTCTGACTTCCGACTTCCAGAACTGTGACATAATAGTAAATAAGTAATAAATAATAAATCACTATATAATAAATATAAATAGAATATGTTACTATATAATAATACAATATAATGGTATATACTACATTGTATAATATGTAATATATTATATAATATACCATAAATATTTAATATATAAGCATAAAATAAATATATATTTATATAAATATAATATGTATAATACATAATTATATAATAAATTTATATAAATATAAATAAATTTGTGTTGTGTGAAACTACTAAGTTTGTGGTGATTTGTTATGGCAGAAATAGGAAATTAATACACTGCCACATCTTGCTGAAAGAAAGCAAAAGTGTGTTATATATGACAGCAAAACTTTCAATGTATAAAGTTTTTGCTTGAAAGAGAATTTACAGGGGGTGCCTGGGTGGCTTAGTTGGCTGAGCGACCTACTCTTGGTTTCAGCTCAGGTCATGATCACGGGATGGAGCCTCCCTCAGGCTCCGCACTTCACGGGTAGTCTGCTTGAAATTCTCTTTCCCTCTGCCCCTCTCCCCACTCCCGTGTGTTTCTGTGCACTTTCTCTCACTCTCTCTCTCTGGAATGAACAAATAAATCTTAAAAAAAAAAAAAGAAAGAAAGAAAGAAAGAAAAAGAATTTACAGAACTCCATTCCATCCTTGACAGTAACTACTAACAGGCTAAAATACACTACCGTTTCAACTGTTTCAGGAATTACGCCACAGGTAGTACAGGACAATAATTTTTGGCTGAAGGGAAACACAAGTCCTGGGACACAGTGGGTTTCTAGTCCAGCAAGAATAATACAGCTTCAGTGAGTTCCTGTGATATTCCAGTAAGATTTTGTAAATGTCACAACTTAGGCATAAGGGAAGTAAATATCTCATAAGAAGGGTCACAAAGATTAAATTTAAAACTGAAGTAGTTCCATCAAACCAAGAGTAAAACCAATCCTGACAGAATAAAAAAGATGTAACTGCCTCACTGAACAAAATTCAACACCTTTTAAGGGAAGATGATCTAATTCAAACTCCCTACAACATGTTACATACAATATACACCAAATAGTCAAAACTACTAGGAAATAAAACAACAAGGTAGAAAATATATTCACCAATCTAGGAGGACAAAAACTTTCCAATATACACTGACCTTGATATAACTCAGATATTTGAATTAGCTAGTAAAAATTTTGCTGCTTTACTAAATACGTTGGACTTAAAAAGAAAAAAGAATGTCACAGTGAGAAAACAAAGAATCACAAAGCACAGAGGCAAATTATAGGTGAAAAAAGGGAATTCATTATTTGAAATCAGAAATTAATTGAATGAAGTTCTGTAGATTAGAGCTGGCAGAAGAAAGGGTCAGTGAACTTGAAAACAGGTCAAGAGAATATATACAATCTGAATAACAGAGTAGTTAAAAACAACCAACCAGAGCCTCAGCTGAAGGAAAATGTCAAATAGCCTTATACATATGAAATTGGGTCCCATTGGAAAGAGGGAAAAAGAGAATAGGACAAAAAAATTTTGAAAAAATAATTACCTAAATTTGCAAATATGATAATAAAAATCTATTTTGATATCCAAAAGGTTCAGGAATCACCAAGCGCTATAAATAAAAAAAAAGAACCACACTTAGTTACATCATAGTTAAAATGCTTAAAACTGGAGATCAAGAGAAAATCTTTGAGGAAACTGGGTGTGGGGAGAAGGCACATTACAGCAAAAATCTGAGTGATGACTTGTTTGTAATTAGGAACAATGGGAACAAAATGGCAATGAAAGAATATACTCAAAGTACTTAAAGAAATTTGAAGAAATATCCAGAATTCTAAGGAAGTGGGTGGCAAATGGTCTAGATGGGCAATGGGTATTAAAGAGGGGATGTGATGAGCACTAGGTGTTGTGTGTACGTGATGAATCACTGAATTCTATCCTGAAACCAATATTGCACTGTACATTAACTAACTAAAATTTAAATACAAAATTAAAAAAATAAATATCCAGAATCCTATAGAGAAGGAAAACATGACAAAAAGTAACATTTTCAGTTAAGAAAATTTGAGATAATTTGTTACCAGTGGACAGTCATTACATTAAATACTAAAAGAAGTTCTTCATTCTAAAGGGAAAAGATACCCCATGAAAATGCAAATCT